AATGCAACAAACAGTTCGACTTGACACGAGTTGTTCAATGACAATACATGGCTCGATCTCAAACATGCTCTTTGTTCTACATGCTCTTTGTTCATATCTTGGTGTTCATCTGTTTTGGGATTGAACGCCTAACACACACACACAACACATGAGCGTTTGAGTACGTTTAGCTCTTGTTCCAACAATCGTAGAAGTGGACTGGAGGCCTTGTGTCAAAGATGGCAGTAGCTTTCCCAGTTTCTCAGGTGGCTTTCCATGATTGTTAAAAAAGGACGCTTATCATGAAACCCAACAGCCAGGCACTGTAAAGGCAGCCTTTTCTGGAGGGGGGGGGGGGGCCGGGGGGGGGGGGGGCATTTTTGGTTTTGGAGAAGTCAGGAGTCACTCAGGGATGTCTCCACGTCCAAGCGCACGAAGACGGGATCCTGCAAGCAGTGACCCGCGGAATCGGACGATGAAGGGATCTTCTGTCAGGTTCTGACCAGGAAACTGGGCTGTCCTCAGATCCCCCGCTAAAGTTTAACTTCTACCGGGTGAAGCTTCGAAATCCAACCACTAAACACTACTCAGTTGCCCAAAGGACCTGGAACTAAAAGGTTAACCTTTTGGGGCCATGACTAAATATGGACCAAAATGGGAAAACCAAAAGGTCAAAAGGTCGGCTTTGAACAACTGAGACTAACAAGATCTAAAAACCTCAGGAACCCGATGCCTGGGAGCCAAGGAAACCCTCTCGGAAAAGGAGCAGAGTCATATTGTTCCTTCAAGGCGCAAGGGGCGGGCCACATAGGAGGTGAGGTCACAAAAAATCCCCGGCGGAGGTGACCATAATCCGCCCAGTCAACATGCTGCATATTAATACATATCACGTGTATTATCATGATTATGATTATTCTGTGTATCATGAATTGTGGTTGTTAGTGTTAACATCATCTTCATGTGGATGTGTGTTTACATGTCGTGATAACTCTCCTCAATGCTTTACCAAGCACACGCAAAGGGGTCCCTAATTGAAGGCGCCCAATCGTCATGTGTTTTCGTTTGCAAACCAAAATCGGTGACGTCACTGTCTTGTGCCTGGAGTTGTATTTTCCCTTGGCTACCCTGATGTCATCTGTGCAAAAAACACTAGTAGCCCCCTTGCCAATTCGCGAATCGCCAGAAATTCAAGAGGGATGCCAAGTTTGGGTTGGTTGTCAAAGAAAATAACAGAGTGGAAAGCAGATCCAAGGTTTCGCAACACGTGCATCGGTTTGGGCACCTCAAACTGATTCAATCGAAAACCATGGCCAGCACCCACATTCCAGCAACATGTATGGTTGGAACCATCCCTTTGGAGGCAGGCCAGGCAGGGTGCAAGGAAGAAAGAGTCGTCGGTTCCAGGCTAAAAAGCCGGACGACTACATGGGCGGTATTCCCAGCCGAGATATGTCCAGACAAGCAACACATAACACATGCTGGTGGGAACAATTCCAAGCCAAGCAAACACAGGAGCAACCGGGCGCGCCTTTGGCTGCCGGGGTGACTCACAGTCTATGGCAAACATGCACCTTACCCCGAATTGGCACTTTGTTTCTTTGCGTAATGTCAGCAGACGATTAGTAAACCCCCCCCGATTAAAGGTTTCCCCTTTTCCCCCCCAGGTTCCAACCAACACTAAAGTAAAGGGCCAACAAGATTTCCCCAAAAAAACCTACCCAGTAATTTTTGAGCCTTCCCCAAAACCCCCCTGATTAAAGGTATCCCTCTGCAGCCCCCAAGCCAACAAAACCTGCCAGAAAGGTGCTTTCCTTCTTGCTTAGTATTTGCTGAGTCTGTGCTTAAACCCACCAATACTAAGTCACTTTTGAACCCCTCAAGTTTTCCCAAAAAATGTGCTTCCCCCGAAATGCATTTTTCCTTATTAAAATTTGTTTAAAATGACAAGGTTTTCAAGCTCGCAAAGGGGACCCCCCTTGGAGGCCAGTCCCCCCTCATTAACAGAAAACCCCCCGCGATTAATCAGGGGTCTTTTGGGCTCAAAACCCAAAAAATATGCTGTTGCCTTTTAAAGTCCTACTGCCCCGAAGCGACCAGAAGTAAGAGGACGAGGACCGCAGGGGCTCCAGAGTAATCAGGGGGGTCCTCCCAAAAATCTCATTTTTTGGGACTTGTCCAAACCTTGTCAACCTTGAAGGGGGGGGGGGGTTTACTAATCAGTTGGCACCATTATTCGAACCAAAACCAGTTCCTTCCCGTGGGCAGCTACCGAAAAGCCACGAACCGTCCGCAAAGGACCAAGACACAGCACCAAACCAAGGGATCAGAGCCCTCCGCCTGTGAAGTTCACTCCTTGATGCCAGCTCGCGAAAAGGAGACCAGCTGAGCAGGCAAGGTCGCCGAAAAGAGCAAGCACTGCCTGGCGAAGCGGTCCATCTAAAGACCACCCGGACGTTTTGTGTTGTGGGAAAGGGCCGGCAGCCAGAAAAATAAAAAATAGGGAAACAATGCGCAAATCTGACCTCGAAAGGATTCCCACCATGTGGACAGTAGGGGCCCCCGAGACAAACACATTGATCTTCGACACCCGGCAATTCGCCCAAGGGTTGACCCTCGCACAAAAAACCATCGAAGCTGACGGAAGTTCATTGAAGAGGAACATGGTTTTGCAAGGGCTTCCAGTCAGATACCATGTTCATGGATAGGGGGAGTTCGGTCAAACCACTCCCCGCAGAATCTCCTGTAGCTGGTTTCCTGACAGCTGGATTCCGCCTGGATGAGGGAGTGGCATCCAGAATCTTCTGCAACTGATCTGCAAAGCCCAGCCTGAAGCATTGTCGCGAGTCGCGATCGACTTGGGCTGCTTGCAGGTAGTGACAAGCGTGTCCTTTGCAAAGGATGCACCTTTTCCAATGGTCACCTTGCCATGTTTTTTTCAGACCAAGGTTCAAAGGATAGCTCTAGTTGGCACCCTTGCAGGCTTCAATAACTCAGAGTGGGAACCCAACCCTCCTCGAACCCTCCCTCAGGTGAGTCAAAGGCCGCACCTATTTCGGGCTGGGACTGTCCCTTGCTAACCTTCATCTGCCCGAGAGCAAGTGGCTCAGGTGTTCCATGAAGAGTGTTGGTCCCCTTGTCCCGAAACTGGGGCTCGATGAAAACGCTTTCCCGAATTTAAAAAAAAAGCCAGGAGTCCATGACACGAGTCTTGGGCACAGGGTACAGTGGATTCCACATGGGTAAGGCAGGCTTCCGAAGCTTCCCGGGCAATATTTCGGGAAGCGTAGCTTCATTCATAGGGTCTGAGGGACAAAACTTGTACTCAGCAAGTCGGAACCTGATGTGTCCATAATATTCCAATAGGGGTGACAGCTCCAAGTGTCCAGTGCATGGAAATATTATATTGGTCGCATCATGCTTGCTCGAATGCGGCTTCATGTTTTACACCCTGGACCTAGACATCGGAAATAAGATTCAAATGAAAGCGGCTCAAGTACGTCCGACTTTCGATGGGTCAAAGTCTGAGCCCTTCAACCAGCTCCTCTCTGGCAGCAACTCCTCAGACCGGGGTTCTTTATTATGCACCCAGGTTCTATTGTGGAGTCAGCCTTTGAGTCGTTTTTGTTTTTGTTTTTCTCCTCTCCGGGTATTACAACACAGGGCGTAAATCCTGACAACCAACATTGAATGGAAACCATGATATGTCTGCATCAGGATCACGAATATTGTACTGTTCCATCATCAAACCACATAAGTTAATTGATGCATTGAATGCGCTAATACATAAACAATTAGTATTTCTTCTGATGTCCCCTTCAACTCATTTGACCCCCCTAACAGTTGTGTGCAGTTTTGTGAGAAGCTAATGACAAATGACACCCATTTCTTAACCAGCAAATGGAATGTAAGTTTCTCACATGAGTGTTATATGTCCTTTTCCCAAACGCTTGTCTTCGTTGGTCTATGAATGCTTGACAAAAAACAATGTTGTTTGTAGTTGGACTTTGAGCTTGTCACACGTACCTTTATTAGTGGCTACATGACTTTGTGTGTTGCGTCTATTGGTTTGTTCACAGCATAGTTTATAAAGTTGTAGTTCGAGCCTTCATTTTGAAAACTTGTCTGTGCGCAATGTCTTCCAATGCAATCCAAGCAAGCGTTGACTTTCGCAATGAACAAACGAAAGAGACTATACGATTGCTGAAAAAAACGACCGGTTGTACCTCTTAGTTTGTTTTTGACCAGTCATGGTTTGTGTATTTGATTAAACATGATAAAACATATTGAAAACAGTCATAAGCGAGGGCAAACGTAGCACGCGAGCTAATTTTTCAGTATCTTTTGATTAAATAAAACAATAATATGATTACGATACAAATAATACCCATGTACAATGCACAATGACACAATCTGTTACAAACATGTGACGCTTTTTGGATTGACATTTTGCAATGTGCCGTCCGTTGATCCAGTTGCCAACATGTTGTCGTCTCGATGCCAATCCATCTAGAAAATGTCAATGCAAGAAAGGTCAAAAGTCCAACAACAAAACAACAAACACCTACACATGTCTGAACTGAACTGCGGTCATACCCGGTTCCCCTGCGAATCAACCCCGATATGGGTGTGTCATTTTGTGAGCGGACCCCAAACAAATCATGTTCTGTTGGTGTCCCTGAAAACCATGAAAAAACGAGTACCTTCCTTTTGGTGTCTGTCCCCTTCAAAACCAGCAAAATCGGGGTACCTTCCTTTTGGTGTCCCTTTTACAACCAGCAAAAACCGGGATACCTTCCTTTGGTTTCCCTTTAAAACCAGCAAACCAGGCTACCTGCCTTTGGTTTCCGTTTAAAACCAAGACCAGGGTAGTTTCCTTTGGGTTTCCCGCAAAAAACCGCAAACCCGGGGTACCTTCCTTTTGGTTTCCCTTCAAACCCAGCAAAAACCGGGGTGCCTTGGTGTTGGCTTCCCTTCAAACCCAGCAAACCCGAATTACCATCCTTTTGGTTTCCCTCAAAAAACCGCAAAAAACGGGCCACCTTCGAAACAAGACACCCCCAAAAAACGGACATCAGAACTACTGGCCTCACTATTTGACCATGATCCAAGTCACCCTTGAAAGTGGCGAGTTTACACGAAAACTTCACCCCCATTGTCTGACTTAACCCCCCAAAAACCACACAAATCCGTCAGACATCTCTCTGTCACCCCCTAAGGGGTGGGTAAAAGGGAAACGTATCCCCCATTTCCAACTTCACCCCCGAAAAAAACCCAGAACCCCCCAGAAACCCAAAAAAGACAGAAACCCGTCAGACACATCTCTCTGCCGCGGGGCTCGAAGAGGCGGTCCGCCTCGTCGAAAACCAAGACCTCCACCCGGCTCAAGGACAACTCCGCCTCGAGGATGTGGTGCATCAGCCGCCCGGGGGTGGCAATCACCAGGTCCTCAAAAGAGCAAAGGGGCGGTGGCAAGGGCCGGCAAATGGAACCAAGGACTAAATGGTTGAATTTGGACTGAAAAAAATGGAACCAAAAACTAAAACCTGCAGTTTTCTGGTGCTTTAATTTGGGCTGAAAGATGCAATTTGGCCTTTTCATTAAAGCATGTGTACCTCACATGGAAGAGTGGTGCCTAACAAATAGGTACCTATATAAAATGTCCTCTTGGGGAGAAAAGGGGAGGTCTAAAAGTGAAGGGTCCCTCACGTCCACTAAAATGGAGCCTGACGCAGACTTGACTCAGAGTTCCTGAAAGAAACTTGTCCTTTCACATGGACCCTCTGGTGGGTTCCATGCTAGACCAGAGGGTAACCTTACTTGCCCAAAGGACCTGGAAATCAAAGGTTCACCTTTTGGAGGGGTGGGGGGAGGTGGGGGGCCATGACAACGATAGGAAACCCTCAAGGTCAAAGGTCGGCTTTCAGAAACGACACATGCCAATTATAGACGTGGCACCCACAAACTGCGGCTCACCAAGAGGTCTGAGAGGCATCTTCTCAACTTCAGCTTTTGAGGAACCAAACAACCAAACAACCAAGGGCGAGCGGACCAAGAACCAACTGGCAGAGTGCCAGGGCTGTCTGGGGCTTCGCCGAGGCTTGGCTTTCTTGAGGGGTAACCCCTTGTTGTGGTTGTTTCAAGGGCCCCTTTAACATCAGCCAACTCACGCGAAACCGAATTCAGATTGGCCTATATGGGCTTCGGGGTCTTAAAAACGATACCAAACGCAAACCAAGCCCCTACCTGCGTTCCTAATATTGCGACAAGCCCAACCGCCGCCCAAGACGTTTCAGGGGGGGAGGGGGTAAGCATCCTAAAGGCTTCATTGGGATCCATTCGGCTGTGGGTCAAATATAGGTACCCAAAATGAAACCCTGGTAAATGGAACCAAGGACTAAAACCTGGGGTCCCCTTGTGGTTTCACTTTGACCCATACCCATTCGGATCCATCGAGCAGCGGGGTTGTTGGCCAGGTGCTCGAATTGCGCCTCCATGCCCTGGCCACCCACCTTGGCGGCTCGATCCAGTCGATCGACGATCCTTGGATTAGTCGCCTGACAAAACGAGTCGCCGGTCTCTGCAGTTCAAACAGATCAAACTGAAAGTCGCCAGTAGCTCCCCATGACAAACCGGATCTCCACTTTGCCTTTGCATTTCCCACCCAGTCGCTGAGCATCCCTGTCCAGACCTCACCTCTTCTCCCTTCTGTTCTGTCATCAAAAAGTTAACCAACAAACTGCAGGTTTCTTATACTCATTGGTTCCATTTTCCGGTACCACTGTTCCATTTTTGGGTACATTATTTTGACCACAGCCATTTCAACTCCCCTTTAAAGGTGGTACAACATGGAACCCCCCAGAGGGTCCATTTCAATGGTCTTCCGGGACCCCTCAATCAGGCCTCATGCTAGTGGATGGGGTTGAGAAGCCTTTCAAGCCCTGTGACTCGGAGTTTACCTTTCATGCATGCTTGGATTCGGCTCTTCGCTTCCAACAATCCACCATGCAAAAAACACCGCTGATTGGTCCTTTCCCTAAAGGCTCGTCTCCAAAAATCTGACACCCTCCCCCCCACTCTGTTATATCGGTGTGCTTGTGGTTTCCATTTTCAAGCCAACGAACCGACACATACTTGCCCATGCCCAAGCCAGGAACCGGAAAATCGCCAAGCAGCCAACAAACAACACCGCAGGTCGTTGAACCGCGAAAGCTGTCGGCAGAACTTGGCCGTCTGCATAGCGAGTTCCCGGGTGGGCGACAGAACCACCTGAAAAACGCGCGACAAGCCATCGGCTGTCTGAACCAGTCCCCCTCGAGTAAAAGCAAGTGGTATGTACTACTACCATGTACCAGCAGGTACCAGGAAGTGGGAGTGAAGCATCCTCAGTGAGCATTCCCGTTCTAATGCGTCCTTGGTCTGGTCATTCAAAGCAGTGCAACCAACCCCACTAAGGGATTGGACGAAGGTTCCTACGTGGTACTCTTCAGGAGTTTAACAGGCTAGCCATTAGTGTGAATTGGTTTACAATCATCCACTCGAAAGTAATTGGGATTCGGGTGTGTCTTCTTTTGAGGGTACCCTGGTTCCTCCCTTTGTGAATGGATTAAAGGCAAACGGCCGTGTACTGGCAAACTGGCACCTTCATGGGAAAGGTTGCAACCCTCGCTCGGTCGCTGAGATGTACCACAGCCAGCCTGAAAATACGCAATCATCGGCAATACTGTGCTCGACATCAGAACTCGCATGATTACATCTGTGGTATGGTTCGCACACAGGCACTCACGCAATGCAACTCGTACGTATAGTATATTTCATACTGCTTGCCGATCCTGCCGGATTCCGCCATAACATGCCATAAAGTAATGCTGGCATGTGCTGGTAAGCGTGCAATGGTCTAAACATCTTGTGGGTCGTGGAATTTGTTCCTAGTGCAGCAACCTGTGCAATGATCCTCGATTACTCATTCAAGGGTCGATGACTGACCCCAATCAGCTTAAGTGGTCAAATGCATGTTCTTGGCACGCGTACACGCGATCCTCCACTGCACATGGACTGTCAAGCCATGCTAGCACAATTCAAAGCAGGAGAGGTTAGCAAAACAGGCAGGGGGGGGGAGCGGTGGAGAGACTATCCTACTGGGTGATCTGTTTCCATCTTTGCGTTCTCCAACAAAACATGTATTTCGGGAGGGACGTGGCGAGCCGTTCTTTTGGGGAGGTACTGCTGAGGGGGGCAAACAAAAGGGGCAACCCGCCCTAAATAGTACCCCACACACACACACATGTGAAGCGTGCACACATCAAACGAATAATGGGAAAAACAAAAGGACACATCCACAAGTCCTATACATCCTGTACGAAAGGAAGTTCAACCATCAACTCTGCAACATTGGCAATGGTTCCAAAAGTTTGAATTCAGGGATCCGCTGTTCAGGATAAGCTCAATTACCCGCGTTCAGTGAACTCGTTTTGTAAGCTGCAAAGAACCCTAAGTCTTGGTGCCCTCAACGCCTCGGCGTTCACCCCAACGACCATGTGCTCACAGAACTGCTTTTTGGGAGCTCCGAAAAGCTCCCAAAGCAAATGGGCATGAATTTTAATTTGGGACCCTTCAATGGACATCATTTAGGTGGGCATGGCTCAAAAAACCGGTACCAAACATGGAACCCTGGTAATTGGAAACATGGACCAAAAGCTGCGTAACCCTGGCCCCTGGCTCTTTAATTTTGAGCCACTGCCAGGTGGAGATTTATGTCCACCGACCATTGAGGAGTTCCAGCCTTTAAAGGTCACCGAATTTCGATCACCGCGAGTGCGTCCGGCTCTAACCAAGGCACCGCGCGGAAGCCCACGGACAAGGAGTGGGTCTTCCTCAGCGAGCGGAGGCTTCCATGAGTCGGCTTTTTGCCAGAAACTCTGTCTTTCTTTATGGATGTTTCTTAAAATTGGGGGCTCCTCCAGGTCGGTTTCCTTTTGCTTCCTTTGTAAAAAAAAAAGGAGGTTTCCCAGTTTTGGACACACCCATATCTATCTTCCAGAAGCTCACTCTGTAGAATCTCGGTCGTTGTGCGGAAACACGTGTTTTCAGACCAAGCTCGGGTGATGCAATCATGTTGTTTCGGCCTCCCGGCAGGTTTGCCAGCAAATCTGAGGATATTGCAAAAACTCACTGAAGTTGACAGAACCTCGCTGAGTTACCCTGGCTTGTGCTTGTGAACCTCCCAGTTGCTCGTGTACTCCCTAGCGGACAATTGCCATCGATTGCTCATTAGCTCACCCCCTAAACACCACAAAAACCGGATCGAACCTTGTCAAGCAGCTTCCCACTCCAAACGTGGCAGTGAATCACGCAAATACACCAGCCAAGTGCAACCAACACCACAAAGAAAATCCCGATGTTCAGACCTCCCCCAAAAACATATACTGCACACACACACACACACAAGCACACTCGGGCTTGTCTTAACATAGGGGACCCTCCAAAATGGTTGGCTTCCCGTTGGTTTCCCTTTAGACTAACCCACAAACTGGTTCCTGAACTAAAAGACGAGCCCCCCCACACGACACGGACACGTGACTCCCGACGCCCTGCCGAAGGTCAGACGCTCGCAAATGGGGATCAGGAAGGCTGCCGTCTTGCCGCTGCCAGTGCGAGCCATGGCAACTAGGTCCTCAAGGCAATGGGCTTGCAATATTGATTGGGCTTGATCTATGAAACAAATGGTTTGCTTTGGAAGGGGTCTCCCAAAGCAGAAAAACCGAAGGCCATGGATGTCACAAGTTCTCAGTTCCCTCCAAACAGGTGGTTTGGAGCCCGGTGGTTTGGTGGTGAAACGGAGTGCTTTCCCAAACCGCCAATTTGGGGTTACCTGACCAAGCCCGGCAATGCTTCGGCTTCGCCAATGTCAGATCCTGACCCTCCAAAATGGTGGGGATGGTCTTGCGCTGGATGGGCGTTGGCACCTTGTAGCCCATTCCTCGCAACGAAAGGAGAGACGGACCGCGAATGAGAGGAACTGGAATCAGGTCGGTGGTACTCTGCAAAATCATGGAACCCAAAACCAGGGTTCCCCAGAAGGAGTTTGGGCTAAACGTGTTGACTTGCAACGCTCCATATTAATCTGCAGCGAATGTGCGTATCATTGGCCGGTGTGGGTGTAGCCACAAAATCTGTGGGGTAATTAGGCTGAACCGGTCAGCGGACATTTCAAGCGTGTTGGACCCAAGCAAGCAATAGTGAATGCTGCAGCTGGGGAAACAGGCCAAGTCTGTGGATTTAAAACACATAACGAGGTCCTCTGTTGGGCAACATGGTAACATGGCAAAACTTCGTGTAGAGCAGCCGCGAGCAAAAAATAAGAAACAAGTGTTGACTCCCTACAGCGATAGCGGGTGGCAAAAAATATGTATATATATATATATATGACTTAGGGAAGCCTGCGTGATTGGAGCTAGGTGATTGATAAAGACAACCTCATCACCCTTGACACAACTTGAGGCAACTAGCAACTTCTTGGGCAACTTCCGGTCTGCTTTCAGCGAAGCATTTGCCAGAGTCGTGCTTCCGTCTCACAGAAGGCCTGGTCACCGATACCAAACACGGCCTCAAATGCGTGTCTGACAGGTGTCCAAAAGCGTGTCCGACTCGGCCACATGGTCTCAGGCTGAAGATGCAGTTGACATCATCACCATCACCATCAGCGTCCCTGGCCCCATCCTCATCCTCCTCAGCTCCTCCTCCTCCTCATCCTCCTCAGCTCCTCATCCTCCTCATCCTCCTCCTCCTCCTCATCCTCTTCATCCTCCTCATCCTCCTCCTCCTCATCCTCGTCCTCCTCATCCTCCTCATCCTCCTCGTCCTCCTCAGCTCATCATCCTCCTCCTCATCCTCGTCCTCCTCCTCCTCCTCCTCATCCTCCTCCTCCTCCTCATCGTTCTCCTCATTCTCCTCCTCCTCATCGTCCTCCTCAGCTCATCCTCCTCCTCATCCTCCTCATCCTCCTCCTCCTCCTCAGCTCCTCCTCAGCTCCTCCTCATCTCCTCCTCCTCCTCCTCCTCCTCTTCCTCAGCTCCTCCTCAGCTCCTCATCCTCCTCATCCTCCTCATCCTCCTCCTCCTCCTCCTCAGCTCATCATCCTCCTCATCATCCTCGTCCTCGTCCTCCTCCTCCTCCTCCTCTCCGTTTCCTCCTCCTCCTCAGCTCCTCATGCTCCTCATCTCCTCCTCCTCCTCAACCTCCTCCGCCTCATCATCGGCGTTCTCTTCCTCATCCTCCTCATCATTTTCCTTTCCTCCTCATCCTCATGATCATCCTCCGCCTCCTCCTCATCATGATGATGATGATGATCATCCTCATCCTCATCCTCATCCTCATCCTCATCCTCATCCTCATCCTCATCATCATCATCATCATCATCATCATCATCATCGTCTTCATCGTCTTCATCGTCTTCATCGTCTTCATCGTCTTCATCGTCTTCATCGTCTTCATCGTCTGCATCGTCGTCATCGTCATCGTCACCGTCATCTTCATGATCACGCTATCTATCGATAAAATGCTGTCTTGCTGCAGGCCAAGCAGGAAGAAGCGAACAAAAGAAACAAAGGGGTTCACGCTGACATGCTCCTCTGCATGTGACTAAAACTGCCGACGCGTTTTCTCCAAGCCAAGCATCTCATGATCGCCTTGTAAGTTGCATTGCCCAAACCGAGCCCTTGAAACGAGCCCGGCTTGATCTTCTTCTTCCTCAGGTCGAGCATGACCCAATTGAAGAAAGTGACCCTGCAAAAAAGGGAACCCTTTTGCGGATTGACTTCTTTTTAGCCGGGGAGGCCATCAAACAATAAAGGACAAAGGGTGCCAACTGAGCACTTCTGTGCGCTGTCAAGCGAAGTTCTGTGTGCCTTGGGCCTTGCCAAGGGCCTTGCCATGGTTTCCCCTCGGAACCCCATGCAATCGGGCTCCACGACCAGCCCCCATAGGGAAGGAGCAAGGGAGTGACTGAGTGATGGGACGTTCATGGCCTGGTGCCCAGGCTGCCCACCAACAGGGCAAGACAAAGCCTATTCTTCGGCAAATTGTTTTTTCGCGAATAAAGTGGTCGGGCCCAGCATCTTTTGCTGCTCCTCCGTCCCGTCCATGGCTCCCGCCACGCGCCGAGCTCGGCGTCTTATGATAGGCAGGGGGCCAACCGTCAGGGATGGATTGTCTGGTGGGGTCTTGGTCTGGGTGAGCTGAAGGCCATTGACCTGCGAGTTGAACAGGGATCCTTACATGACAACACCTGAACATTGCCTTGTAAAGGGTTGCTGCCCTTTATTTTGGTGGGCAAAATTTGCATCTTTAGCCCTGTTGAACCTTGCGGAAAGTGCCGTGCCATTTGGCGCAGCAAGCGATGACTTGTGACCTGTTGAATGACGAAAAAGCCGTGGGTTCCTCGGGATTTCAAATCGCAGATCGGGTTCACATCGTCCGTTGGCCAGACGCAGGATCCGAACATTGACATGGGGCGTCTGAGCCATATGATTCCACCTACATTTGAGCACCAGATCGCACGGATCGCGCGGAAGAGGGGGAAGAAGCAAGCCAAACAAAGCGGAATTCGAGCGGCCGAAATCCGTTTTTGTGTGGCATTCTCTCTGATGTCTCCCTTTGCGCCCTACACGAGGGGTCATTCATTCTCCATGGGCAACATCGTGGTTGAAGATTCAAGAACCCCATGATTTTAGCATTCCCAAAGTCACCCAAGCTCATGATCTATGACGTTTGTCAGTGAGAAATCGTGGGCCAGTCAAGACTCCCATGCATTTCCCTACTTGCAACCAGTGGCTTCCCACAAAGCTTTCGGTCTTGAACGGATATGCATAATTATTTGAGAAGTGGACACGGCTGCAGCCACGCCACAAGGAACGATTTGAGTTGGCTTTCAATGGACATCTTGTGGAACATAATCTTGTTTACAATCAACGTTGGCATCCGCTTCGGCCAATTCATTTGGCACATTGCTTCCATCGAAACAAATTGCACATCGCGGCTGAGGCGACACTCCTCCCGTTTCAGCGTGCCGGAGTCAGCTCCTGGCGAATGGAAAAACTGAGGGCAGTCCACCGAGGTGGTCCTGGACTGAACAAATCGATGGCAAATGAGGCCAAAAAAGCAACCAGTGTCATCTGGTTGCAACGGACCAAACGGAAACATGTCCTCATCAGCCTGGCTAGAAGCACCAACTTGATCAACTTTCTTGATCACTTGCCAGCTGGGATTCGGGAATCCTCTTGTTTTCCTATGCCAATCTCATGTCGTGGGCTTGGGGGCTGGAATCGAATCGGCTTGCCGATTGCCTTGTCCTTTTTCGCATGTGCCTTTGGGGGGACTAGGACCTGACGGACAATACGCGAAAAGGTACGGAAAGGATGGGATACAACCATACGAGGAAAGAACGCCTGAGTTGATGTTAGTCATGTCTGAGTCCCATCTGGACACAAATCGTACTTGAGAATGCACGGATCCACTTCTATATAATTTCAGCTGAGCTTCCTCTAAGCATTTGCCAAAGCACATGGGCCAAACTCACGTTGCGCATCCCTCACTGCAGCTGCAGTACGGACCCCTCCAGTTGTTTGAAGCGGGGTGCATTTTGGTGAGACCAGCGGGGCCCGTGAATAGTGGCTGGGCCATATTACCGCGCAGTTCGACTGGGCACATAGGCGGAACCTGTCTAAGAATGTGTTTGGTGTGTAAGCACAAATCGCCTACAGGCTGCATGTTTGGGGGCGAGCAGCAGTTCTTCATCCAGACTGGACCATGATGCACGTTGTCTTGAATGCACCACCCGGGGATGCCGGCTTTGGGAAACGCCCGAGGCGAAGACACTGCTTGGTTCTTAGCTCGTGGGTTGCGCTGCGGGTTCTTTCGGCACCTGCGTCAATGTTTCGTGATCCGTAAATCTCCTGACCGAACCGCCCCCAGTTTGAGCGTTGGCTCGAACGTGGCTGTCACAACAAACCGCCACTCTCAAAACTGCATGGTTTCTTTGTTCCCAGGGTCCAAGTACCTCGCTAAGATGTATGTGGACTCATGTTCGGCCCTTCAAGTGCAGGTAGTTGGACCGGTATCGGTATTGGTCTCCTTTGCGCGCACCCTCCAAAAGACTGCAGCTACACTTCGCCCTGAAATTGATCAGCAGGAGTTCCGGGCTCCGGGCTCTGACAGAGTTCCGGCAGCGAAGATGCGTCCACCTTTGCAGCAAAGTCACCGCTACGCTTCTTTCCCTACCAAGGCTTAATCCCCTAGGTCACGATAAAAACCTGGCACAAAGGCGTCTACCCAAAACCATGCAACGAAGCAAAAGGGCAGCACCCCCCACTACCCGTCAGCTACCCAGGTCCCCAACATGCAGAGTAGCCCTACAATTGGATGAAGAGCTTGATCTCACACGGCTCAGTTGCTCCAGTTTTCCTGCATCTCCCTAACCCAAAACATGGCGCTTGCTGCCATGGACACATGCAGTGTATCTCAAACGAGGGGCCCCCAACTTGGTTGGTTTGCCTTTGAGCTCCCTTCCAACAAAAAGCTTGAGGAATACACCATCTGGTGTCGTGCCTTTCTTGGTTGAGGTATGTTGATGTCCTTTAATCACTTGCCCAAGACCTCAAGAGGCCTGGCAGTTGAACGCCTTGACAACTTTCTTCAGCTGGGAAAAACAAAAGGACAAGCGGTTGGTGTGGGCAAGTGAATTCTCCATCACAAGGGCAACTTGACCACCCCAAACCTGTTGACTTGCTTGTTCCAACATGGTCATAGAGCATATTCTTCGCTTTTTCATCCCCCAGAAAATAATGACAATATTTCCAGTGGTGACAGATTGCCTTGCAAGAAAGTCAAACACATTCTTAGCATTTCTTAAGCAAATAGAACCATTGAACCGGGACTCGTGGTCTTGGAACTTGCTGTTCTCGAGTCTCGAGTGTCTTTTTCCCACCAAGAACCTGTCCAGTCGCATCATGACACGTCCTGGACGCAACTTCGAAACCAACTTCTCCCCGCCATCTCGTGAGGAAGCAACTTGAAGATCTCCAGAGCGCCCTTGCCTCAGTTGGATGTTCTTCTGCCAGCATACCCCGTTGCAACCATGGCCAGCTTTGGCTTAGCTTGGAGCTAGGAGCTAGCACCCTCAGGGGTACAGTCCTTGATTTAAACGGACTCCAAAGAAAGCCTTTTGAAGTAACCCCATGACAGAGCTGACAAGAAGACATGTGTGGGTCCAAAGAGAAGGCATTCCATCTGCTGGGTGTGTCCAAAATGAGAATGTGTGGGCAAACAAGGCGTGCGTGTGGAAGGACATGACTGGTTCAGCAGCATTTGCAGGCTAATTTTGAAAGCGTCCCTTTTGTGGTTTCTGCACTTGCCATTTCAGAAGCCGGGCCACCTCCACATCAAGCCAGATCAAAAGGACATATCAGAAAGGGGGGGGGCACCAGGAGCAGAGATCCAGCTTTAAACCCGTGGAATTCCTTGCTGACCACCTGAAAATTGCAAAACAAATAGCAGGGCCTAACCTGCTACAAATGTCATTGAAGGTCGTAAACTTCCATGACCAGCCACTGTGGCCTTGAATTCAGTCAAAGGTTCAGTTGTTGTTCACCAAAGGGGAGGGGCTTTGGAGGCAAAGCCCCCCCTCACCCATGCCGGTGCTGGCAGGCCTAAGGAAGCTGAAACCATCTGCCACCGGTCCAAGGAGGGGATGCTGCCAGCAAATGAAAGAGGTGTCCCTTGTCGACTACCTGTACAACATGTATGGGGTTGCCGCCCCCTCCTTTCCCCTTTTTTCCGCAAATGGGTAGGCTATCCCAGCTTGAAGTCAAGCATGTATCGGTTCGCACCAATGTTGACATATTTAGAGATTTTGCTGTGGGTGTTTAAAGGGAAACCACAAGAAACCACCCATGCTCTCTTTGTTTTTTGTGGGGGGTCCCTTCAAAAGGACACAGCCGTGTGGTGAGCCTTCGGGATTTGTACGAGATCGATCACGCCTGACTTGGGGGCCCAGCTCACATTGCCAGTCCTCACGCTGACTCCGCGGAAGCAAGGAACACGGTCGAACATCGAAGCAACTGCCCAAACTCAAACATGGGGGTTAGGGTTAAGGGTTAAGGGTTTAGGGTTTAGGGATAGGGTGAATGGGTTTAGGGTTTAGGGATAGGGTGAATGGGTTTAGGGTACCCTTAACCCTTGGACCATCCAGGTTCAATCTGGACCCTTCAAGGTGTGGATATCATACATGGGGGATTGAGCAAAAGGCTTCCCTAGCATGGAGGGAGTTCCCATAAAACAAATGCTCATCTCGGGTATGTTGCTCGCCCGAGAGCGCTTGTCAACCAGCCAGTCGGGGATCCTTACCTGCAACCAACCGAAACCACAATCGAGCAGCGCGGAACCATCGATGTTTAGTTCTAACGTCATGGTTACAAATGTTTACATACTACGTATTAAATCAGGTAGAACCACCGAACATTGCCAATGGGGGGTTCTGAGTCTCTTCCCAAAGAAAGGCAGCATGTGTTCTGGTGGGGGGCGGGGGGCTAGAAACTGGTTGGCAATCCGATCTGATTCCAGAACCGTTCCACATGTGTCCTATGCCTTGGCCAGGTACCAACTCCAAAGAAAAACGCAGCCAAGCCCAGATCTCCGGTGAACACTTTCTTAGGAATTGATCTTAAAGGAAACCTCCAGCAAAAAACTGCTAAACCAAAATTGTTCACAGGAGGTCTGGGCCAATTTGTGGAGTGACTCACCTGTTTCAGCTCGTCTCTTGCGTAGTTGGATAGCTCGACAACACCTCAGGGTTTGGGGTCCCCAGCTTTGACATGCTCTGCGCTTACTTCCATCCAGAACGAAAACAGGCCCTGGTTATCTGTAATATTGCGGATCAGCTTGCAAAGATATCAGCAAGTCCCACATCCTACATGATGTTCTTTCATGCCGGCAAAAGACCATGTCTGCTGAATTCGAGGGGAACCAGGAGTCTTCTTTTTGGATTGCCTTTCCAGCAGGATTCCCGGCATTCTGAAGACAACCAACTCATCCTTTCTAGTTGACACAAATTTGGACGACGAAGAATAGAACCCCCCGTTGCCAAAGCGCATCAAGCCGTCCGAGAGATGAAAGTGACGGATGAGCGCTCCCTGTGAAGACTGCGGTGAAGGGGCACATCGCCTGGCCACACGCATCTTGCCCAAAACCCATGGACTTTTGGGCCTGTCAAGATGGTACACAAGGATACATAAAGAAACACACATATATATATACATATGATGTAAGGGTCTCTTCTTGAGAGTACCCTTTTTGGGTAGGTTTTGAAGGGAAAGCAACAGGAAAACCATCCATGGTGTGGATCCCCAAAAAACATGACTGTGTGGCTGTGGTTCTTTTTGAGGGTATGAACGCGCGGCGCAGCAGGAAAATTTGTTGAGGAGGTATGCAACAAGAACCCTTGTGACGGAGGTGTGTAACAGGAAAACAGCGCTTGACCAATGTGGAGCTCCAGCTCGAAAGGCGCAACCATTCAGTGCAAGCGCAGTACGCGAAGCACACCTCCGCAGCTTGACAATTTGCAACTATCCAACGCAAGACAAGCGACGGCACAAAAGGGGGTCGCTGGCCCGGGCTGGAGTTGGGTCTGTGAGGTTTGTAGCGTCTATGTAACGAGGCGTGTAACGAGGCATAGCACAGAAAGGGGGTTCTTTCTTGCGGCCCCTCCCTACTAGTTGACTGGAAGTTGACTCTTCAGCGAAAGCATGCTCTTCAAAAGTCTGCTCTGCAGGCACTCATGGGAAATCACCGAGAATCTGGGTATGCATCGGGGTTTGTAACGAGGGGCACGTTCCTGCGAGGTGTGTAACGAAGGTATGTAACGAGGGGTGTCAAACAAGCCAGCGGGTCTTGTTACAGAGGTCTGTAACGAGGTCTGTAACGAATGTCCGCCGCGGCTCTGTTACAGACCCCTCAAACAAAACACTGCCATATATGAGTCTGCTCTGGTCTCTCATTAAACCTGGCAACAACCAACACTTAACTTGCCTCAGCCTCTCGGCCTCTCCCTTGACAGTTGATATATCTGTGATGGTCCTACCGGTTGTTTTGACGGAGATTGCTCGCTTCGGTGATACTGAAAGCGCTTTCAGCCGGCAACTTCTGCGGCCACCAAGCTGCTGGGGGGAGCCACAAAGATTTCAACACATGGCCGTGGGTCAAAATCCAAATCGTACCCCCAGTGAACATCCGATTCAACCACTAAAATAGGTTCTACAATGGGTGGTGAATTCACCCACCCCAAAATGGGATCCCATGAATTTTTGACCCACAGCCACATTGCTTGACAACACCATGAGGCCATTGCAAGCCCAACTGAACTCAAAGCCTCGGGCTCAAAGATCTAGGTGAATACTACATGACCAACCCGAACAAGAGTCGGCAAACCTCTCTGCAAAGATCCTTCAAACAACAAATCAATCCTCATTGCGAGGTCGCGATTCAACTTGCCCATGGATACTCCTGATCTCAAGAAGGAACCCGTTGATCACGGCATTTCTTGACGTTTGGGCCGATGTTGTCTTGGGTTTTCCTCTCTAAATCCCACATCTGGAAGTCCTGCTGGTAGGGATACCTATGGAAGCAGACCTATGGCTTGTCACCTCCCAAATCGACAGCCTGATTTAACGATGGGTCACAACCCCGCAGTGAACATCCCAATCCCCACTAAAATAGACGACTAAAATGGGTGGTGCACCGAAAACCCCCAAAATGGGATCCCATCGGTGTTCCTCCATGGCCATGGCGTTTGTGCCCTTGGGCGCTGTAGATCCCCAGCAACAAGTTAAACACTGTTTGCTGGTTAAAAGGAAATATGAGTGGAATCCCAAAAGTTAAAGTCTAAAGATCCAACCCAATAGCCGGCAAGCGCCTTCGGCAGGCCGTTCTTTCGGATGGCATCCCCGGCGAGGGACACCGCGCGCTTGGCCTGCGCCGTGACTTGGGGTCAGAGCCACTGGCAGGGATCCCCATACCGTGGATGGACGAAATCCATTTCGCACCACCTAAGAAACCCTGGAATGATTCGATTCCTCTGTAAATACCAACAAATACATCGTTTGGTGTGGCTCAACTTGGTGCAGGATTTCGTCCATCCACAGTATTTCCAACCCCAAGCCAAGCACCAAATGCCACAGCCACGTTCCAGTTTGACAAGAACCCCGTACATATTTTTAAAATGCTCGTGGCGCAATCAAGCAGCTGCAGAACACCTCTCTGCTTCAACCTGCTCAGTGAGAAGAGTCTGGCTTTAGACAGGCAGGTTAGTGCTCATGTCACGTTTCAATTCACTTGCTACTGCCTAAGGCATTGAACAATTGGCAACTCAATCATCTTTCAAAACATAAAAGCAGGACATACATGAAATCCAGCTGTGCACAGTTCTGCGACCCCTAGCGCACGACAAACCCAAATGGAAAGGCACACAGGGACCCAAGGTCTGGCGACGTGCCATGCCACGGTGGTTCACACCCCACCCAAATAGTCCCAGTCTCAGTTGTTCAGCGACCCTGGAAAAAAAGGGATAACCCTTTTTGGGGAAGACCCTTTCTAGTGGGGCAACCACCAAAAAAAGGGGGGAAAACCGGGCGCCACTGAGCAACTGAGTAGTCAGTCGGAAGGGAACCAAATCTTTGCACATGCCCTCTGCGCATGTGTTGGACCATTTTTGAAAGGCTGGGAATTGGAAAAGAGCACCTTTAAAGGGGCGCGCTAACCGGACCCGGCACTGACATAGGGAAAACACACAACAACCAATTCGGGGCTCCAGCCACCATATGGATAAATCGCTTTGCCCGAAAAAGGGGGGCTCATTCTCATCCCCACCCAAAGGCATCGGGAGGAAAAAACAAAATTCGAAAACGTACATAGTTTCAGTCCCTTCCTTGGAGCCGGTACATATCCCACATGAATTGCTTATAAGGCACTTTGTCATAAGCCCCACATTCTGGGGCTGATTCTCTATTGAGTCGGGGCCCTCAGGCCACGATTCCCCGGGGGGGGGGTAATAATTATATTTCGTTTCCGTTTTCGCAACGATTTTGAGGGAGTATTCCACGCACGAGGCGAAGAGCCGTAGTTGGTTTCACCAACTTCTGCGGTTTGCGGCACCCTGACACCGACAGACCGCACCTCCTCGAGGGTGGGGTACATGAAGGCAGAGCCGATGTGCAGCAAAGGCCTACGGCCCAATCGTGGCTTCAACGTGACAGATTCCAGCCGGTATTTCTTCTACCAAAAAAAATGTAGAATTTCGGACATGGACAGACTTGACCTGAACATTTTTTGCACATGACCCGGAATCATTGGGAGTTGCTAAGGAGGGCGTCCATGCTGTGGTTGGTTTCCGTTGTCCACAAAGTTGAATTGACGTCGGCTGAGCCATGTGTATATGTTGTTTTTTTACTTTTACTTTTTAAACATGTTTGCTCCAAACGTGACGCTCTGCATGTTCTCAACGCTTGCACAGTATGATTCGTCCCTTAACTCAAACACACATGTTGTTTCCGCGTGTGAGTAACATGCAAACATGTTCCGCTCCTCACAAACTCAATTGGCCATTGCCTGACTGACATGATGCCCCGTCTCCTTTCGAGAGGACATTGCGTACTTGCATGTTCAACATAGTACATGAATTCAGAGTGGTCAGAACAGGACAACAGCTTCCCAACCCTTGGTATATCATCAGAAAAAAAAAACTAACTTGTTGCTCCCCCGCACTACAGATGGACAGAACCCAAACAGTAAACTTATAAATCACATACCATCACAGTAAGGAAATGAGTGATTGCTCCTTTGTTTCACACCTAGACCCGACCCAGGTCTTTGGTGAAAACATGTTTTAAATCAGCTGTTGCCCCGAACGTGAAATCAATCTGAGGATTATGGCATTTAACAGGCATCCTTACAGTATACACCTGAACATTGCCTTGTAAATGGTGGGGTTCCCTTTATTTTTGTGGGAAAAACATGTTTCAAATGGGCAACATGTATCTTTTAATAATTAGCCGTGAAATGCAGCGTAAGAAGTGACATGTGAGAGGTCCCAAGTAACCAGCCCTGTCCAAGGTGCGCAAGTAAACATCATTCCCCCAGCCCCCAGCACATCCCAGGTGACGCTAAATCATTTGCCATGCAAACCGCTCAATGGAACGGCGCATGTTTGGGAGAACCTCTTGAAGCTCGTGTCCAAGCCAAGGTCCTCCAATACTCTACCGGCCAATCTATACATAAAACGCAGCCCTGCGGAAAACCTGTTCTAGATCACCATGCAAATCCCTTTCTGTGAGTAACTCCAACAGGCAACAACTCCTGAGTACCCTTAAACCCTTCATAACTTAGCCAACGGTCAACCCGAGCCCCGGGAGCTGGTAAAGGGCGAATTGTGATAAATGGTTCCCAATAGAAGACCAAGTCTTGGGGTAGAGGGCTAATATGTGATACATGCTTCCAAATAATAAGACCAAGTTTTGGGGAAGTTGCATCCGAATCACTTTTAGGGGAGTTGCACCCTCTCCAGCCCCCCCCCCCCCAAAAAAAAAGGCAGGTTGATTCAGGATGGGATCAGCATTACACTTGTTGATTTGCAAAACTCCCTTGTGCCATTGACCCTTGCTTACTTGTGTGGTTTTGTTTTGAGCGCACTTTTCTTAATTTCAATGAGAACCCAACCTGATTTGGGGCCTAAAAGGGAGACACCAGTCATTTGGGTGTCTTTTTGTTAGGGCTACCGTTTTTTCCTGCCCAAAGGCTCCCGATTGATTTAGGGCCTTCAAAGCAACCTGGTTTTGAGACCCCCAACCACCTCCGGGGTGTCTAATGGAGAAATCGGGTCTTCCATGGGTTCAGGAGCTGGAATCGTGAAACCAACAGCAAGACCGAAGCCATTTTGGGGGGTCCAACCTAAACAAAAAGGACCAAGGAACGCCACCATTTTTTGGTTTTGGGGGGTCCAACCTAAACCACGGACCAAGGAATCACCATTTGTTGGGGGGGAATCCAACCTAAAACCAGTCGAGGTCGAGCTGGAGCTCGAGCTCGTTTCGCTCGGTGAAAGCCGCCCGAACTCGGGGTCAGACCAGGTCCGTTTCCTTACGAACCCCGAAACCCGAAACGCGGGTGCGACAGGTAGGGAATGAGAAGTGGAATGAAGCTGGGGGATTGCAATCCAAAAGGACACCACCAGTTGGAAGGTCTCTTTCGGACTCCATTCCTCATTCCCTGCTCTCGCGATCCCAAGAACCGCAGCCGACCGCGGCGACTCCACTCGACGCGGAGCTCCGAGCGCCGCGCGTGCTGAAGCCCAGCGCCAGCAGCCGCTCCCCGAGGCCACGCAGGAAATCGATGGCCTCGCCGGCTGGGCGTTTGCGAAACGCCCGGCCTTTTTGAGTAAGTGTTTCTTCAACGAGTTCCATGGTATATACTGGTTTAGATATATTGGCTTGTTGGGCTGTGGTTGCCTTTTGCTTGTGATGTGCCTGCTGGTGATGTTTTTGCTTCGATACATGCGTTGCAAGCTGCAAGGCTTCGGGTTTAGCCTGCTTGTTCTGTTTGTCTGTCTGTCTGTCTGTCTATATATCTGTCTCTGTCTCTCGGTCTGTCTCTCTGCTCTGTCTCTGTCTGTGTCTGTGTCTCTGTTTGTCTCGCTGTCTGTCTGTCTCTGTGTCTGCGTCTGTCTCTGTGTGTCTCTGTTCGTGCGTCTCTGTGTCTCTGTCCCTCTCTCCCTCTGTCTCTGCCTCTGTCTCTGCTGTCTCTGTCTCTGTCTCTGTCTCTCTCTACGTCTCTGTCTCTGTCATTGTCTGTCTCTCTCACTCTGTGCGTCTCTGTCTCTGTCTCTCACAAAACTTAAGCCAGCACCCCCAACATGTGCTGTTCCCCATGTCCTAGTTTCCAAGAAAAAACAAATGTTGGGGGATGCTGGAATGGGTCTGTCTTTGTTTAGGGAACCCTTGACCAAACAAACAATGATGGCTGTCCTTTGGTTTCTTTTTACAATCAGCAAAAAAGAGGTCAGTTGAAAAACAAACACACCCAAATCGAACTATTCAATATTGATCCTGCCGAGCCCAAACTTCCTGACAGTGAGGGATAGTCTGCTACCCCTCATGCAGTCAACTTGTAAGACAGTTTTGTAGGGGCTTAAGTTTGAATCATCTTGTTTCTTGCCACATCTAGCTAGCATGTGGCAACATCATGCAAATGCAAATTTAAGCCCCCTTAGTGGGGAGAATGTGATTTTCCGCAGGGTTCAAAGGGACTAAGCAAAGCTACAGGTCCCTAACCGCAGGATCCACAACGGCTTCCTCCCAACATGCCACCAAGTATCCTCAAATTCAGACAAGACCATCCCATGCCAGCACCCAACGAGCTTTTTCCCATGTCCCAAATCCGCGGTTCCTTGGATGTTCGGCCAAGTTAGTAAGTGGCTCGCCAATTGGGGTAATAACCCCCTAACGAGGTTAACCCCACATTCACCGGGGACATGTTTGAGTGGGTTATCACCGAACGGTTTCCGTTACAACTTACTAACTTGGCGGCTCGAAGACCCAAGTATGAGTCTACAACTTAAAGGACCACCGAAGCCATTTTGGAGGGTCCAACCTCAACTCAGATGCCCAGTGGCCAGGGGTACCCTTCCCAAAACAAAATCGCAAAAAAGGGGCGGAACCCACTGGTTGCAACTGGGCTAGGTCCTCCAGTAGAGAGCTTAGAATAAGGGTACTTTTTTTCTGTAGTCTATTTTAGTAGGGGAACCCTCCCCCCAAAAAAGAAACGGTGAGAACGGGCACCTAGCTGGGGGACTTAGCTGGCTACAAGCCTTTCTACGGCTCAAGTGGTTTCCCATAACCTCAAGGGAGGGACCTAGTGGGTCCAAGAGACCAACTGCTGCATCGCTCCCCTCGCCTCCCTCGCTCCCTCGCTCGACCCGACCCCTCGGAGGCCCCCGACGCCGGCGTAGCCCGCGAAGGCTCCGAAGGCCACCAGCCGCGAGCCGCTGCGGCACCCGGAACTCGGAACTCGCCGACTTGGGCCCGGGGGATGCCCAGGCTCCCCAACCGTTCAACCCCCCAACCCAACCCATCCGAGTAAAATTCCATTTCTAATGTCCACCAGGCACCACCGGTACTGCTCACGCCGTGAAGGAAGGAGACCACAACAAGTCCGGCAGTAATGTCCACCTGGGATTCGTGAAGGAAGGGGGTCCTTCCCCCCCCCCTTCCCAGGATTCGAAGGATGAAGTCATTGTTTTAATCCTAGGTGGCCAAGGCTCCGATTCGATGGGACTTTGGGGCCTCAAAAATGTGGGTTGCTTTCTTTTGGGATGAGGAATTGGTCGCTTTGGGTTCTCCAGAGGGTCCGGGGTCTGCATTGGACGGGTCATGAGCCTTAGGGTACCTGTATAGGTGAGCAAAGGGAACCACCCTATAAAAACCCAAAGGAGCAAATGGCTGAGCTGGTTGCCTTTAAGAGCAACTGGATCCACTGGAAACCACAAGGGCGTCCGGGACATGAACAACTTCCGGTTTCTGTTTGTCTGTTCGGGTTCGGCGAGGGACAAAGCCATGATCTTCACTTCGTGCCCTCTGAACAATCGATCCGCCCAGTTCATACCTCAGCATTTGCCGCAGCGGAAATTACACTTCTAGATTCAGGTCCATGTGTTGCCACTACACATTGAATATGCCAAGGTCGGGAAATGAAACCTTCCCCTTGAAAGTGTACCCAAGCCTGGGGTTCCCTTTTGGAACAGGTTCACAGGGGACTGAGGCTCCCATCCATGTTCAATCAGGCGTCCCTCAAATTCAAGAAAACAAGACAACTCTCAGACCACCAAAATGTAACCAAGGGCTACGTACCTACCGAAACGTACCCAAGAAGTACCCAACGAACATGTCTCTCGATTTCTTTGCCCTCGAAGTACTGCACTGGACATGGCACCCCTTGGTTAAGGTCGGTCAAAACCAAAGGTCCGGACGGGTGCACCGGCTTGGCAACGCCTCTCTTCACATTGGCAAAGGCTTTGGAAACCTGCAAAAACCAAGCTTGCAAGACTGTGGTTGCAAACATGGACCCTAAAATGAATAGAACCAGTTGGCTGTGCTTTTGGTAAAACAGATGTCACTGGTAAACAATTAAACAGCATGTGGAAAAGACCTGCGCACAGCTGGTCAAACCGATTCTGCTTCATAGCTCAAGCAGCAAATTGTCGTTCACCGGTAGCATACAGAGCACACACGCCCATCAGCGGAAAAAAAAGTGCTGTAGAAGTGTTCCTGCTTTGGACCTGCAGCAGCGTATGACTCATTGGACCATACCACACCCCCAACTCTTCTCGGGCTCAACGAAAGACAACGGCAACCAGGTTCAACTCTGGAGATAAGCACCAGGTTCAGTCCCAACTGTGACACAGTGTCCGCCAAACAACTTTCTGTTTGGCTCGCGTGGGGATATAGCGTTAGACCGAAACTGTCATACTCGAAAACAAACAAAAGCGCGTGCCATCGTTCAGCTCGGGATTCTCGCACAGTAGGCACCCGACTCAGTGATGCATTCGTAGTCAACCAAGCGGACCTGCAAGGCAGCGCCTACGCAGTGCCCATCCCTGTTGTGCCTGGACTTCACATCGAATCAAGCGTGCATTCATGCCAGGCACTTCTTATAGTAGCCAGAAAAATCAGAAGAATTTCACCACCAGTTTTTTTTTTCTTTTAGCTACTCCCTGGCAGATTCACATAGAAGCCCCGAGCCATCATGCTTGGAGTCTTTTGCTTGTCATTGATTCCCTTTTTGGATGCCAGAGTCTGCAGCTCATGCAGCAGCACCGATTTCCTTCCCGTCTAACAAGTTGGTTCACAATATTCTTGAGGAGGGGGATTCCCAGTTAGTCCTGCCTTTTGCTGAAGTGACATCCCTCCAAACCCGTTGTGAATAGCTGAAATCTTCACGACAGTGAATCCGAGCAAGCAATCCTCCTTGCAGCATCTGAGCATCAGCCAATCGTTCCATTGCTCTTCACAGTCCATCAGCCAGTAGTTGCTTCTTTAACGTTCATCAAGTGACCAGATGCCTGCATGCGGCTTTTGTTAGCTTCTGCCAACAGCCCGACGCCTATGTCCACGCTAACATGAGGAAGCCGCCAAGGGAAGCAAGAGGCAAGTGTTCGAGCTGTCATCCGTCCATGACTTCCTCAACCCCTCCGCAGACTGTTACTACTTCTTCGCATGGGTATGTGGCATCTTTGTGTGGGTTGTTTTGATGAAGACAACGAACGAGGTCCAAAAAACAACTTCCGACTGGTTGCTTTCCATTGTGGTCATCCTTCTCTCACACAGCACTCTGAAAAATACACTTCTCAAAGAGCAGTCTCGCCAGTCAGTTGATTGATCCTCACACTGTGGAATCAAGTCCATGCTTTGGCACTGATTCAAGCCTGGCAAGCTGGCCCCTACTACCAGCTATTGACTGCAGCTGGCTTCTGTGCACGCACAAACACACCAAAACGCTGAGCCCTGGCCAGGCATAGAGCGCTTCAAGCAAAAACAACCGCCAGTGTAGGCCAGTGTCCCGGCAAGCGCAGCCTTTCCATTCCGCTTGCCAAGCTTGCCGCGGCTCTGGCAATCGAACCATTCAATGTCCGCACCAACACTCGGCGTGGTTGCTTTTAGCAGTGTCATCATCGCCCTCACATTCGTCCTGTTGCAGCCACGTGATCCAATGCTGCACATCTTAACAGCGAAACACCTAAACATCATCTGATAGATGACTTACTCAAGACCTCCACCACTGGGACATGGCATGTAGACGGCAAAGACGCAAACAATGCCGAGCACATTCGCTACTCCACATAGCGTTGCTCAACCGCCAGCAAGAACCACATGCGACAGCGAGCCTTGCCGGTCAGTTGATTGATCCTTGTCTCCTCACACTGCCGGACAGTCCGACAGGGGTTGCTAAAATCAAATGCATCATTTGGGTATGATTCAACCATGACCACCTTGCCCGTAGCCGATCAATAATGGGTCTGCCGCAGCCTTCTACACACACACAAGCGAACTGGTGTGGTTGCTTTTAGCAGTCATCATCGCCTGCACATTCGTCCTGCTTGCATCCACGTCGTCCAAATTATAAAAACAATATATAATCAATGCCGAACATGTTCACAGCGTAGCAGCTAAACCAAATCGCATGGATAACATGCTCAAGCTCTCAGAATCCTCATGTTGCAAGCAAACGGCAAACAACATTATGCACACAGTGACTGACTTGTAACTTCATGCTGTGCGCGTGCATGCACACATCATGTTGCTCACCCCGAGGCAAAACACAAATCTCAAGATAACAACCGTGCCAGTCAGTTGATTGATGATTGTCTCCTCACACTGTCGTGCGACAGTCCGACAGGGGTTGCTAAATCAAGTGCATCCTTAGGCAGAGGTGCAATCATGGCAAACTTGCCCCTGCCACAACAACAACGGGTCTGTAGCAGCCTTCTACACACACACACACACAACCACACACAAACACACACACACACACACAAAAGCGATCACTGGTGCACACAGCACCTTCAACCAACCTCTTGCCCCACAGTAACACAGCTTTCCAAGCTTGAGGCGGCTCTGGTAATCGAACCATTCAATGTCCGCACCAACACTCGGCGTGGTTGCTTTTAGCAGTCATCATCGCCTGCACATTCGTCCTGCTTGCAGCCACATGGTCCAAATTCTCAAAAACTACATATAATCAATGCCGAACATGTTCACAGTGTAGCAGCTAAACCAAATCGCATGGATAACAATCTCAAGCTCTCAGAATCTTCATATGGCAACCAAACGGCAAACAACCAAACACAATCATCATGCACACATTGACTGACTTGTAACTTCATGCTGTGCGTGTGCATGCACACATCAATATAACAACCGTGCCAGTCAGTTGATTGATAATTGTCTCCTCACACTGTCGTGCGACAGTCCGACAGGGGTTGCTAAATCAAGTGCATCCTTAGGCAGAGGTGCAATCATGGCAAACTTGCCCCTGCCACGTCAACAACGGGTCTGTACCAGCCTTCTACACACAGACACACACAGACACACACACAGACACACACACAAGCGAGCACTGGTGCACACAGCACCTTCAACCAACCTCTTGCAACAAGGCAACACAGCTTTCCAAGCTTGCCGCGGCTCTGGTAATCGAACCATTCAATGTCCGCAAACAAACTCGGCGTGGTAGCTTGTAGAAGTGTCATCATCGCCTGCACATTCGTCCTGCTTGCATCCACGTCGTCCAAATTATAAAAAAAAAAAACAATATATAATCAATGCCGAACATGTTCACAGCGTAGCAGCTAAACCAAATCGCATGGATAACATGCTCAAGCTCTCAGAATCTTCATGTTGCAAGCAAACGGCAAACAACATTATGCACACAGTGACTGACTTGTAACTTCATGCTGTGCGCGTGCATGCACACATCATGTTGCTCACCCCGAGGCAAAACACAAATCTCAAGATAACAACCGTGCCAGTCAGTTGATTGATGATTGTCTCCTCACACTGTCGTGCGACAGTCCGACAGGGGTTGCTAAATCAAGTGCATCCTTAGGCAGAGGTGCAATCATGGCAAACTTGCCCCTGCCACAACAACAACGGGTCTGTAGCAGCCTTCTACACACACAACCACACACAAACACACACACAAAAGCGATCACTGGTGCACACAGCACCTTCAACCAACCTCTTGCCCCACAGTCACACAGCTTTCCAAGCTTGAGGCGGCTCTGGTAATCGAACCATTCAATGTCCGCACCAACACTCGGCGTGGTTGCTTTTAGCAGTCATCATCGCCTGCACATTCGTCCTGCTTGCAGCCACATGGTCCAAATTCTCAAAAACTACATATAATCAATGCCGAACATGTTCACAGTGTAGAAGCTAAACCAAATCGCATGGATAACAATCTCAAGCTCTCAGAATCTTCATATGGCAACCGAACGGCAAACAACCAAACACAATCATCATGCACACATTGACTGACTTGTAACTTCATGCTGTGCGTGTGCATGCACACATCAATATAACAACCGTGCCAGTCAGTTGATTGATAATTGTCTCCTCACACTGTCGTGCGACAGTCCGACAGGGGTTGCTAAATCAAGTGCATCCTTAGGCAGAGGTGCAATCATGGCAAACTTGCCCCTGCCACGTCAACAACGGGTCTGTACCAGCCTTCTACACACAGACACACACAGACACACACACAGACACACACACAAGCGAGCACTGGTGCACACAGCACCTTCAACCAACCTCTTGCAACAAGGCAACACAGCTTTCCAAGCTTGCCGCGGCTCTGGTAATCGAACCATTCAATGTCCGCAAACAAACTCGGCGTGGTTGCTTGTAGAAGTGTCATCATCGCCTGCACATTCGTCCTGCTTGCATCCACGTCGTCCAAATTATAAAAACAATATATAATCAATGCCGAACATGTTCACAGCGTAGCAGCTAAACCAAATCGCATGGATAACATGCTCAAGCTCTCAGAATCTTCATGTTGCAAGCAAACGGCAAACAACATTATGCACACAGTGACTGACTTGTAACTTCATGCTGTGCGCGTGCATGCACACATCATGTTGCTCACCCCGAGGCAAAACACAAATCTCAAGATAACAACCGTGCCAGTCAGTTGATTGATGATTGTCTCCTCACACTGTCGTGCGACAGTCCGACAGGGGTTGCTAAATCAAGTGCATCCTTAGGCAGAGGTGCAATCATGGCAAACTTGCCCCTGCCACATCAACAACGGGTCTGTAGCAGCCTTCTACACACACAACCACACACAAACACACACAAACACACACAAAAGCGATCACTGGTGCACACAGCACCTTCAACCAACCTCTTGCCCCACGGTAACACAGCT